GGAGGTAACGCCCAGCGCAGAGCGGAGTACGCGATGCGGTCCATAGCTGAATGTTCAATGATTTTTACAAATGGAAAAACTTTAACATGATGTCCAGCAGGGGAAGTGAAGTAATGTCCACCCTCCCAGAGCACGGCTGCCAAGCAGGGGCTTAAAACACAGGAGCCCGAGCCCATCCCCCACACAACCCACCCCTCCCCGCGAGCCCAGGCAGCTCTGTCTCAGCAGTGTCCATGGAGCTTACACACACCGCGGTGAGGACCCAGCACAGCCACCGAGCCAACCAAAGGTGCCTCCCAGCTGCACGGGTGACCGCTCCTGCAAGGCTGGGCACACGCACACGGTGCGCGGATGCTTGCCGGGGCCTCCCACTGAGGTGTGACATTTTCTGGAATTTATACCTCGATGCTGTTGAAACTGGAGCTCAGGTCATTGAGGTTTCAAAGCAGTAACTAGAGACTCCGGGAGCCCCTCCCTGCCTTCGTGCAGGTCCACCCGTGGCTCCTGCAAGGGCCCCCCGCCAAAACCAAACCTTCTCAACAACGGGGGTTCCTTCCTGGCATGCCAGCCCCACACGGGTTGAGAGGGGTAGGCTGGTTCTCAGTGTGAGGTGCTGGGGACGCCTCTCGATCCCCCAGGGACCAAGGCAGCGCTGCAGCCCCTCCCAAGTTCTGCCTTCACGGTGAATCTCTCACAGAACGAGCCTTGGCTCTGCCATGGGGGGGGGGTGCCCCGGACCCCTGCAGGGGCTGTGGGGGGGGTGTGCCCCAGACCCCTGCAGGGACCGTGGGGGGGTGTGCCCCGGACCCCTGCAGGGACAGCGGAGAGAGGGGGTGTGCCCCAGACCCCTGCAGGGACCATGGGGGGGGTGCCCCAGACTCCTGCAGGGACCGTGGGGGGGGGTGTGCCCCAGACTCCTGCAGGGGTTGTGGGGAGGGGGGTGTGCCCCAGACCCCTGCAGGGACCATGGGGGGGGGTGCCCCAGACTCCTGCAGGGACCATGGGGGGGGTGTGCCCCAGACCCCTGCAGGGACAGTAGAAAGGGGGTGTGCCCCAGACCCCTGCAGGGACAGTAGAAAGGGGGGTGTGCCCCAGACCCCTGCAGGGGCAGCGGGAGGGGGGTGTGCCCCAGACCCCTGCAGGGGCAGCGGGGAGGGGGTGTGTGCCCCAGACCCCTGCAGGGACAGTAGAAAGGGGGTGTGCCCCGGACCCCTGCAGGGACAGTAGAAAGGGGGGTGTGCCCCGGACCCCTGCAGGGGCTGTGGGGAGGGGGGTGTACCCCAGACCACTGCAGGGGCAGCGGGGGGGGGGGGGTGTGTGTGCCCCAGACCACTGCTGAGCAAGGAGAGGGTCCCGGGGCACCCAGGCTCGCAAGGCAGGCCGGTACTCAGAGCTGAAATCTACCGAGCACTTTGTTAAACTGCCCTCTTATTTTCTTTTCATCCTTTCTCTGAAAACCAAATTTGAAATATTAATTAGGTGCTTTAATCTAAAAAATTCATCAGAAGGTCTCCCGTTGCCGTAGCAACTGTGCAGTGCCGGTAAATGCGAGTCAGCAGCGCCATAGCCACCTCTTCGCGCTAGTGCTGTGGGGGGCGGCCACGCCCCTTCCCCAAAGACTCCCCCTTCCCGGGAACCTCAGGGTCTTCACCCAGGTACCCCTCAGCAGACCCTCCACACTCGCTGGGACTCGAGCCCTGGCCTGGCCACCACTGCCCACCCCAACATCAGCCTCAGCCCCTGGGCCCTGGGGCAGGGTGGCCATGCGGCTGGCCTCCAGCCTCAAGCCACCCAGGGGGTCCCTGGGGTGCATCCAGCAGGGGCGGTGCCTGTCATGGTGACACGCCTCCCTCCACCAGCACCTCTGAGCCAAAGCCAGCCAGGACTACCCCAGGCGCGAGGGACAGGGCCACCACCGGCAGACTCTGCCTCTTTAAAAGGTGCTGGGATGTTGGGACCTCAGTGGCATGCAGGAAAATCCATCTTCACCAGCTGGAGGCGCAGGGCGCTGCCTTGGAGACCAAACCAGGACACGGGGCAGCTGCCAGCTCCGGGCGGGCACCAGCCAGCGCCAGAATCGCATCTCAGCCTGCGGCTGGCACAGCCCAGACGGTCCTGGGTTAGCCCGGTCCCTCTGCGCGGGAAGCCCGCACTCACGCAGCGCTCCCCGCGCCGGGCCCGACCCGGCCCGCCCCCGCACGCCCACGAGGAGTGCGGGCGAGGTTCCAGGACGTAACCCCTTGGTGCTGAGTGACGGATCAGAGGCAAGGAGCCGCGCTCTGAAGTCCCGAAAGCGCTCCCGCCGCAAGCCAAACCGCACATTTCAGCCACTCGAAGGAAACGCCAGGACCATCCTGTGTGTCACCGCAGTGCCATCGACAATTCTCCCTGTGGCTCCGGAGAAAGAGCTCCGCGCTGGCCGCGGCTCCGTGACCACAGCCACGGCGGGCACTGTCCGGCCGCCGTGCGCGGGTCCCAGCCGGACCCTCCAAGACCCATGCGGGACCTCAAGCCACACCGGCTCCCAGAACCGCGGGCCTCGCACCCAGACGAGGCCCCTCCAGCTCCGCCGGCCCCGCGCCACCTGTGGGCGGGCGTCTCGCTTCCCGCGCGCGGCCCCCGGGGGAACCCGAACCGCGGACCCCCAGCCGACCCCCGCGCCGCGCTCACCGTCCTCCTTGTCGTCAAACACCGGCCTGCGCGCCGCGGCCGCCGACACGGACGACCCCATCCTCTTCCTCCACTTGCTCCACGAGAACAGGGGGCGCGGCTGCGCGCGGGCATCGCCGGCGTCCCGGGCCCGGGGCTGACCGCCGGCGGGCAGCGGCTGGGCTTGGGGCGCGTCGGGGCCGAGGGCTCGCGCGCGGCCAGGGGGCGGCGAGCCCGGGGGCGCCGCGGCGCTGCTGCCTCTGCGCTCGGCGCCGCTCCTCATGGCCGGCCCGGGGTGTGCGCCGCGGCCGCAGGCGGGAGCATGGCCGGCCCCGGGGCCGGCAGGCGCGGGAGCCGAGGGGCCGGCAGCGCCGCCGTGCGCCCAGCCCGGGTTCTCGTGGCTCGCAGGCGGCCGAGCCCGCCCCGCAGCTGCGAGCAAGCGGGGGCGCCCGGGGCGGGGTCGGGGCGGGGCCTGCGCGGAGCCTTGCGCGGAGCTCAGCGCGTTGCTCGGTGCTCGGTGCTCGGTGCTTGCCGCCCGGATGCGGGCTGGGGGCCTGGGGCGCTCGGACCGCGCGGCCGCCCAGGAGCGAGGAAGACAGGTGAGAGTCCTCTCGGCTATCTCGAGGGCCCCGAAAGACAGGGGTCTTGGAGGCGGGAGCGACGCTGGTCGGCACCGTTGGGGACCCCTCGCCGACGTGGCCAGCGGGGCTTCGGGGGTCCTTTTGTGTCTTCCTAGCCCCCGAGAAGAGCCGCCTGCGGCTTCTGCCGCCCGAATTGGGAGTCCGGGGCCTTGCGTTCCTCGAGGCCAGCCCGGGGTCGCCAAGGCAGCGGCGTGGGGTTGGCTCAGGACGCGGTTCCGCCCTGCGGCTGCGGCCCGCGCGGGGCGAGGCCGCGAACGCGCGCACACGCAGGCGCGCGCTCACGGACCCGGGCGGCGCCGAGCGCGGTTCCCGAGGGAGGCTCCCGCACAGGGCCGCGGCCGCGGCCCGGCTGAGGTGGGGAGCGCAAGTCGGCCGGGTCCTCTGGCCTCCCAGTATCCGACAGAAGGCTTTGCACTGGGAGCTGCGGGGCGCGGCCTGACCCCCTGCCCCTGCGCCCTGATCGCCTGGCAGCTGCAGCTTCCCGCGCCCGCCGCTGTCACCGAGGAATCAGTTTTGGCCTCCCCAGGCCCTGCTGTCACGCGGCCAGGCCCTTTGTTCCCTGAGCGGGTCTTCCGCCGCCCCTCCCCCGCCAAGGCGGGTTCCCACACCTGCCTTGCTGGTCCCTGGCTGGCCCGGAGGCCCTCCCCTCCCCCGCCGCCCTTCCCAACAGCTTCGAAACTCATCCTGGCAGCCCGAGTCTGGCTGTTGGCATCTTAGGGGCCAACTTCCCCATCACTGGGGGATGCAGTGACTGGAAGCCCCTGCCCAGCTGCTTGGCCGGGGGAACGCGAGGAATCTGCCCCGGCGTTGAGCTTCTGGGACCGCGGCTCACGGGAACTCTCCCTCCAGGCCCACCTGTGCATGTCTCCCGCCGCCTGGCCTGTTTTTGTGTCTCAGGCTGAACTGCACCCACATGGCGGTGGGTTCCCCGCCCCACTGGGCTCGCAGCCCTCCATGAACACCCACAGCCGTCTGCACCGAGCGCCTGCCGGCGGCCATTACCCAAAAGTAGGTAAGAGCCCCTGATGTGCTGAACGCCTAGGAGGAGCAGCCAGGGCACTGACTCAGCCGGCTGGAGCCTGGGAGTCCTCCCAAGCAGGCAGCCTCCACAGGTGGCAGGAAAGGGGTCAAAACACGAGGCCAGGGGTCTCAGGAAGAGGCCGAGACACAGGTGAGGCTGACCTTGCCCACACCTGGCCTCCTGCAGGAAGGGGAGCTGGCATCCCTGCCTGTGGGGCCGTCGGAGCCGCCCAGAGGACGCAGGCGTGTGCGTGTGCCGGCCAAGGCTCCAGGGAGCCTGGTGGCTGAGCCCCAGGGTTTGACGACTGGGGTGGGAGCCCGAGCTGCACGCCGGTTCCCAGAGCGGCTGTGGCAAATCACGAGTGTGGTGGCTTCTAACAGCAGGCGTTTGGCCTCACAGGGCTTTGGCGGCAGGGCTGGCTCCTGAGAATCCGGCCCCAGCCTTCTCCGGTCCTGGCTGTCCCCAGGCCCTGGGCGTCCACCCAGTCCCTGACCTGCCACACATCAGTGCGCTCTCTGCTTCCCACCCCTGTCATGAGCGGGACCACAGTAAGCAAGAGCCACACATCTGCAAAGCCCCTTTCCTAAACACGGTCACTCAGGTCCAGGTCTGCTAGCTTGGTGGACGGGGTCCTGGCCCCCCGAAACCCCTGCTCACCACACCCCAGCATCCCCAAAGTGCCGTCTCACCTGAGTCAGGTGCAGAACCCTGCTGTAGCCCCACTGTGCCTTCCCTGGGTCTCAGTGGCCTACGTCAGCCAAGGTCTGAAAGAAATAAATGGACAATTCCAGAAACAATTCGTACGTTTAAGATGTTATTTACTTGAAAAGCAGAGAGACAGCGACAAAGTCTCCAATCCCCGAGTTCCCTTCCCAAATGCCTGCAACAGCTGGGGCTGGGCCAGGCCAAAGCCAGGTGCCTGGAGCTCAATTCATTTTCCACTTGGATGCTGCCTCCCAGGGCCCACAGTAGCAGGAAGCTGGAATCGGAAACAGAACTGGGACTGGAGCCCAGGCACCCTACTATGGGACGTGGGTGTCCCCCCCCGCCCCCATGTGTGAATTCTGAATTGTTCCGTCCGAGCAGCAGGGTGAAAGCTCACAGATGGGCTCCATCCCACCTGGGACACGAGCCGGCCCTTCATCTGGCACGTCCCCGCCGTGTCCACGCCCTGCTGTCTTGGTTATCAGGTCGGCTGCGCAGCCTCCCAGACCCTGTGTCCCTGTGCCCTCCTGCGACTTGGTAACAGCCCCAGTGGGTGAGGGCAGGGACGCTGGCCACCGGGCGAGGCCGGGGGGGCTGCCGTGGGAAGCGGAGGCAGCGCCGACCTAGTGCTGAGAGGAAAACATGGGTCCTGAGCCCTGCAGCGAGCACCGATCAGAAACTGGAGAAAGGAAGCGGAACTCACGCTGGTTTTGCTGTCACACCTCAGACTGCAACAGCCCCGGCACCTGCTAAGTGCTTGGCCAACGAGAAGGCGCTCGCTGCGCGTGTGTGTGTGCAGGCGTAGGTGTCTGGGTGCACACGTGTGTATGAACACAGCACTGCTCCCAGGGATTGTACTGCCCTTGGTTCCAGGCGTCCCTGGGCGGGGGGACTTGGCCTCCGGACCTGTGAAACTGCAAAACACGTTCTTGGCTTCCAGACTGCAGCAAGCTCCCATCCCCAAAGGGAGAACGGGGGGGGGGGGGGCAGACGGAAGTCAGCCGAGCAGGAAAAGTGTGCTGGCGTTCGGGGTCTGAGCAGGATTCCCACCGGCGCCGTGCCCACCCTCTGGGCCCACGGAGGCTGCTGGCTGCTGACCCTGTGTCTCAGGGCAGCACAGGTTTGCAGCTCGGTGCTCCCGTCCGGGTTCCTTGCTGCTGTGGATTTTGGGAAGTCTGCCAGCGCCCCCCCATCCTGAATCTCTGTCCCTCAGCCGACGCCGGCAATGCAGCTGCTGAGGGGTTCCCACAGAGCCCTGGGGCTGCTCAGTGTGCAGAGGGGTCCGTGTGGCCAGAGACCTTTTCCGCCAGCTGCTGCCGTGGTCAGGGGGCCACGTGAGTCACCCGCCTGGGCTCTCCGCACCCCCTCTGGAAACGGCTTTCCGGCGGTTTCTGAGCCAGGGTGTCCTTTGCAGCAGGGATGGGCGCTTCGCGTAGCAGTCTTCTGGCTCCCGCCGTGAGCAGCACACCGGCAGGTGGACAGATGCACCTGCAGCTGGGGCTCGGCCCTCCCGCCGTGAGCAGCACACCGGCAGGTGGACAGATGCACCTGCCGCTGGGGCTCGGCCAGCCCTCCCGCCGTGAGCAGCACACCGGCAGGTGGACAGATGCACCTGCCGCTGGGGCTCGGCCAGCCCTCCCGCCGTGAGCAGCACACCGGCAGGTGGACAGATGCACCTGCAGCTGGGGCTCGGCCCTCCCGCCGTGAGCAGCACACCGGCAGGTGGACAGATGCACCTGCCGCTGGGGCTCGGCCAGCGCTCCCGCCGGCTGTACACCGGCCAGCGCTCCCGCCAGCTGTTCACCGCGGCAGGGCTCCAGGCGTCTCCTGCTCCTCATCACTGGGTGGCGACCTTTCCTCCCGGTCCTAACAGCACTCAGTTCCACCTGAGCCCTCCCCAGAAGCCCCGTCCGGGCCCATGCTGCTACAGCCCCTGTCCTCCAGGCCTTCTGGCCGTTTGGACGAGGGTCATCTCTACTTCAGGGCACCTGACTGTAGCTTTAGCCACATCCACAAAACGCCCGCACATCCGTACCTAGACTCCTGTTTGATTCAATAGCTCCTGGGCAGTTGCAACCTCCACCGTGTGAGGAAGCAGTGCGGGGGGACGCAGAGGGAGGTGTCCGGGTGGACCCCAGGTCTCCCGCAGGGATGGGCCTGCCCTTGCAGCAAAGCCTTCCGTGATGGCATCCGGGGCAGGTGTGACTCGAGCCAGGGCCACCTCTGACACCCTCATCACCTCCAGGCCCAGATGAGTCCCATGACCAGCTGGCCACAGAGCACAAAAGCAGCTCGGGAGATGGGGGGAGCGAGACTCTGTGCAAAAAGAGGTAGCAGACCCCACCTCTCCAAAGCAAGGAGCAGGCCCGGGAGGGGATCCCACAGGCCACACCAGGGCTTGGTGCACCTGCCGGGGGCTGGTCATCGGCCAGGTGTGCAATGGCAAGGCTGGACTCAGCAGTGGCTGAGAGGCACCCCTAGAGGGGGAGGGGGCTACAGGCTCAGGGAGACAGAAGTGGGGGATGGACGCCCTCTCCACCCCTGCTCCCCCAGCATCTGGACGGCCTCTGTTCCCTGCAGACTGGAGAGGACCGCGGGTCTGCAGGGGGCCTGGGCTCCCTGACCTCAGGGGAACAGTGACCCCCAGGGGGGGCTCAGGTGCAGTTGCCATCGGACAGTGACAAGGCCAGCGCCAGAGGCTCAGGACAGAGCTGCCCCACGGGGACCCATGGCAACCCAGGTGCCCAGAGAGGGGCTTGGCAATGGGTGTGCTTGTAGAGAGCTACCTGTGGCACGAGGACCGGCAGCCTCCTCCCCTGTTCCCAGGTTGGAGCCGGTTCATAGCTTGCTGCTGCCTTGTGATGAGAGCCTGGCCGTGCAGCCCAGGTGTGCACCGTGGATCTCCCCATCTGCCCACTGACCGGACCGGGGACTGTCAGACCCTGACAGTCTTTCCCAGAGACCCAGCACGCCGCCACGGGAGCGCTGGCAGTCAGGGCTTTGGGAGGTTGAGTGACGGCTCAAGGCGGTCGCAAGGTGGGTCTCATGAACCACACACTGCCCTGTGGGTCATTCCCTGGTCTCAGCAAGGCCCTGGAAGGAGGGTCTCCCACACCCCTGCCTACTCACCCCCCGTGAGCTGCCCCCAGGATACCGCCCTCTGCCTAATTTTATAAAACGCCCTGAATGGCCCAATCTGGGCACGTGGGTTTCTGGCTGCTGACGCCCTCCACCACACATGAGACCGTGGCCCCTGGCCCTCCACAGAGCAAGAGCAAGGTGACCCCACCGGGGCAGCTGAAGGTCAAGGCAACAGGTGTGCAAGGCCCTGCCGAGACTGCAGCCAGAGCAGCACCTCCCCCAGGAAGCGACGGCAACGCACGCCTGAGCCGAAGGCAAGACTCGGGCCGGAGCAGGGCCCGAGGAGCAGAGAGAGGATCGTGGCGCTGGCTCCAGCGCGGCCTGAACATGAGCCCCACAGTGACAGAGCCGCCTGTGCCACGGTGCAGCCGGACCAGTGCTGCCTGTGGACGCTTCCTGCCACCTGCTGGAGCCCAGCCCAGCTCTGCCAGGTGGCCGGGCGCTGACCCTCAGGCCATTCCCTGACCTTAGCAGTGGGGACACTGGCTGCTGAGCCTCCGGGCGTCGGGCAGCAGCCACGCGGGCCACACGGCAGAGCCCACACAGCACCTGCTGTGTGCGGGCACTGTGCTGTGGGAGGTGGGAGGAAGACGACACCCAACAAATGGTGACCGGCACAGTGGGCGGCGGGGTGGGGCACGGTGGGACGGCCAGGCGGAGGTGGCCAGGGAGGCAGGCCAGCAGCTCCAAGCTGGATGTGGCCTGAGAGTGGAGGTGAGTGACGCTATCACAGAACCAGAGGCAGGAAAGGCCAGACTGGACGAATGGACAGAGCGAGGCAGGAACTCGCAGAGGAGGGGGTGGGGGTGGGGGTGGGCTAAGTCACCGGGGCCCTCCGGCTGCAGGGGACACAGGCTCCGGCCGCCTGGGTGGGGCTCCTAAGTACCCGTGCGATGAGCTTGGCCAGTGGGTGAAGCACCTGGCCTCCTCCGTCCCTAGGGAGCTGCAAGGAGACGCCCTCCTGGAGAAGTCCTACGCGGCCAGGCCAGTCCCTGTGGCTGGGAGCCCGGGCCGGCACGGCACGGCAGCGAATCGCCTTGTCTCTGCCTCCCTTCCCTCTCTCTCGCTTTGCTGACTCGGGACTGGCCGTCCCCGACCAGACTTACTCCTGGCTCAGGCGAGGTCCTCCAGGGAGCAGCTCCCACCCAGTCCCGTGGCAGGTGCACAGCAGAGAGCTGGATCAGAAGAGGAGTAGCTGGGACTCGAACCAGCGCCCATGTGCGATGATGGCACTGCAGGTGGTGGATTTACCCACTATGCCACAGCGCTGGCCCCAGGTTTACCTTTCAAAACCAGCATATTTTAGGGTCTTGTCTTTGTTTCTAGCATGATGGTCTGTACCTTTGATAAAAAAATAAAATTTAGGGCTGGTGCTGTGGCGTAGCAGGCTAAGCCTCCACCTGTGGTGCCAGTATCCCCTGTGGGTGCTGGTTTGTGTCGTAGCTGCCCCTCTTCCAGGCCAGCTCTCTGCTGTGGCCCGGAAGGCAGTGGAGGAGGCCCAGGTGCCTGGGCCCTGCACCCACATGCAAGACCCGGAGGAAGCTCCTAGCTCCTGGCTTCAGAGAGGCCATCTGGGGAGTGAACCAGAGGATGGAAGATCTCTCTCTGTTTCTCACTCTACCTCTCAAATAAATAAAGAAAACCTTACAGATACAGATATTTTACTGAAGTGAAAGAGTCTCGGGGGGGGGGGGATCTTCCATCTGCTTCACCCCAGGGGGCTGCAGTCCCAGGGCTCGCGAGGCCAGAGCAGGAGCTCCGTCCTGCTGCACCCGGGCACCTGGGCCCCCTCTGCTGCTCCCCCAGTCATCAGCAGGGAGCCGGATGGGAAGTGGAGCAGCGAGGCCTCTAACCCGTGTCCACATGGGATGCCGGTGTCGCAGGCAGCGGCCTAGCCCGCTGCACCACAGTGCTGGCCCTGGTCTCCACCTTGGAATTCTTTACTGGGATACCATTGACGTGGCCCCTCTGCCTTCCCTTTCCATGGCTCTGTTCTGTCTGCTGCGTTTTCCCATCTTCTGTTAGGCTGCTCCACTTCTGATCCCGCTCTCCGCTATGGCCTGGGAAAGCAGTACAAGATGGCTCAAGCCCTTGGGCCCCTGTACCCACTGGGAGACCCAGAAGCAGCTCCTGGCTCCTGGCTTTGGATCAACACAGCTCCAGCCATTGCAGCCACCTGGAGAGTAAACCAGAGGATGGAAGACCTCTCTGTCTCTCCCTGCCTCTGCCTCTCTGTAACTCTTTCAAATAAAATAAATAAATCTAAAAAAAAGGAAAAGAAAACAATGCCTAGAGAAAGTGTGTGCACCCACTAAGAAACCTCCAAGCTGCACGAAGCAGGGCTCGACGATGCCCCAGCAACAGGAAGACTCGCTGTCACGGGAAGGGACTTCACCATTCTCATCCGAGGGGCTGAAAGCAAGTCCTGGTTCTGGAGGTCTGGACCACCTCCTGAGCATCCCGACCCAGTCACATCCACAGCGCTGTCCCCAGTCACCAGCAAAGCCCTGTCCTGGGACAGCAGAACACAGGGAGGGACGTCTCCGGGGAGGGAGGTCCTACACAATGTATCGTCTGCGCACAACAAAAGCAGACACCAACAGTGAAAGATGCCCCAGCACTCGGAGACTAACCACCAGGTGTCTGAACAACCCACGGACTGAGTAGAAAATCACAAGCAAAATGAGGAAATATTTTAAGTGGGGTGATTCTGAAAACCAGCACCATAAAATGTGAGGAATGAAGCTAGTTTTGAATGCTCTTATGAGAGGAAAAAGGGAATTTTAAAATCAGTGACCTAAGTTCTGTTTTTTGTTTTTTGTTTTTTGTTTTTTTTTTTTTTTTTGACAGGCAGAGTTAGACAGTGAAAGGGAGAGACAGAGAGAAAGGTCTTCCTTCCATTGGTTCGCCCCCCAGATGGCCGCTATGGCCAGCGCAGTACCGATCCGAAGCCAGGAGCCAGGTGCTTCCTCCTGGTCTCACACGTGGGTGCAGGGACCCAAGCACTTGGGCCACCCTCCACTGCCTTACTGGGCCACAGCAGAGAGCTAGACTGGAAGAGGAACAGCTGGGACTAGAACCTGGCACTCATATAGGATGCCGGCGCCGCAGGTGGAGGATGAGCCAAGTGAGTCACGGCCCCAGCCCCATGAGTTCTGTCTTAAAAAGCTAAAAACAAAACAAAACAAAACAAAACAAAACACCATCCGACAAGGTATGCATATTTCAAAACAAGCACACCCTACATATACACAACTTTGAGTTAGAATATGATAAACAATAAGTTCCAGACTTTAAAATCACTAAGTCACAGTAGCAGAGAGTAAAGCAGCGCAGTTTAAACATCGGAGCAGAAAGGAGAGGAGGGGGCTGGGCCTCAGCACCGCAGCCCCCGTCTCAGACCAGGGAAACCGCCAGGAGACG